AAAAATATCATAGGAACAAAGTTCAACTGTATTCACTGTGACCAAACACTCACCAACAATACCAAAAATGGATCACCTTTCTTCAACAAGTACAGCCACAAAATTCCATACTATTTCCTTGCAAATTGATGGTTAGATCCAGGATATGTTTTATTCAAGAAGACACTGATGATTTTTAATATCAAGATGAAATGTTTACAGTGGTTCTTAGACTGCCAAAACAAATATCAAGGAAGATCTGTGTACATTTGGCTAAGTCTGACAAATATCTTGTTTCCATACCCGCTCATTTATTGTCGACATCCCAAGTTCATTGCATACCTCATGTACTGTTATTTCATCAAAAATTTTGGGTACTTAAAATGGTTGTAGCATTTAAAATTCCCCTTATCAAGGGCCGAGTCTCAGAGATGCATAGCCTAAATATTAGTCGAGACACTCCCCATTAAGAAGAGGGCATGTTAGTCATAGTCAAGACACGCGACACCCATGGCCAAGGAAGGTGTCGGAGTAACAGTGCTACAAAGGCATCCATCACTAAGAAGCATCCACCATTAAGAGGCACCCAAACTTCCCAAAGGCCAAAACAATTCTCGAATTGCTTGTGCCACCCTAGAGCAAAATTAACTTAAAAAAAAAGTTCAACTAGCATAGAATTTAAACATTACAAAAATAAGCAAACAATAGATCGAACATAATTACATAAGCACATTATTTGTTTGTCCTCACTAAGCCCATTTCAAGAAACCCAACAAAGGGGAAATATTGTACAGAAGAACAATTCTAATATAGACAGTACACCATACAAATCGAAGCCAACAGCCAGCTTCAGCTCACATCAAGATAAAACTATATATTAAATTAAATTAACAACACATTCACATACCTGCGGAGTTATCGTGATACAATAACATTTATTGGAAGTGTTTAGTCCACTTTCCCCAGAATGAATTTCTGCATCAAACATAATAAACAATCAAAATAATGACTAAAACATAGAATACAATAGCCCCGGCATAATCAAAGCCGAAAGAGCAATAGAAAGTGGCATCAAAAGCACAGACCTTTAAATTCATCCATAAGGATGGCTTCTAGTGCTTCAATTTCCATCTCCTGCTCCTGTAAATAGTCTACATCCCAAAATAATAGAATTTAACTATTTTTTCTAAAGGGTGATGCCAATAGACTGAGGCCAAATGGCCAATATGATTCTAATTTCCAAACACAGCATATAATCTCTAAAAATTCAATCTTTCGTATTCGGAGTCGATAATTGCAAATTCCACTACTATCTCAGAGTACACCATTTGAGATTGAACTTCAAATAAGTATAATTACCAAGATTTTTATGCAAGTAATTGTTATAATCTTGCCAATTAAAATTAATTTTTGCAGCAGCTTAAGCAATAATTGTCTATATAATTGCATCAAATATATGTAGAATCAACTTATTATGCCCTCTAATTCAGAATCAAATTTGCTAGAAAATATACGAATCTTCAATCATATACTGTTACAATGAATGAAATAAAAATTAGGGTATTCATTAAAAAAAGGAAAATCCAAAAAATATTACCAGTCATGGCTGCTCACTGAATTGTTCTCGCACACGCTCTTTTCTACTGGAGTTGCAAACCCAGAATTTGAAGTGAAACCTAAAGAAAGAGCTTATGAGAGATTATGATGATATTTTTTTGGGAAAAAAAATTTGTTTTATTATTCGTATACTTGTTTGGTTCGCTTCTGATTGCATCGTTTTAACTTTTACATCTTACTATCTATAAGACCCAATTGTATATTGGATTATTGGGATTGAGACTAGTTTTAAAGTTGGGTACTCGGTGTGCTGGTAAGTGGCATATATATTGGCCAAGTAACAATTAAAAGGTGTCAATTTGAGTCACTACGTTAAGTTTAGTTGAGCAAGGTTCAATTTGGGTTTGAGTCATGCTAAATCATTGTGCCCATGTAGGTCGATTTCTGGATCGAGTTACTTTCAAATTATATGAGGTCAAGTTATATTGGGTCAATTTTTAATACCTCTAGCAAAAGGCTTATGAAATTTTACTCGCTTATCGAATATCAATGTACTTTCTGATTATGAAATAGTATGGTAGGGAAAAAAAAAAGAGTGAATTGTCATAAAATGGAATTTGATGCATCATTTGGTAATTCACAAATTGTATAGTATCAAACATTCGTTATGTTCTCTCTATTTTGTGGAGGATTAATCTTCCTTGACACCTCCTTGCTCTCCTACTTTACTTCCCCTCTGTGTCGCTCCACTTTAATTTTTGTTTATTCCGCCCTCATTAATAACTTTTAGTTTCAAGTACATTGTCTCTTTGGTTAATCTTTCTTTATTTTTGCAATATAAAACCGAAGTTGGGTCAATGCATGAAGTAATGAAAGGCCAATGAAACAAGGATATCTTTGCTTAAGTTTTAATTGAGGAGCTTGGCACCGCTGAATCCACAATGAAACAAGGCCAATAAAACTAGAAGTAATTTAGGAAAATTACCTAAAATCAAGCAAAATCCACAATTAAGTTGGAAATGGAAACCTTTTCAAATTTTCTAGTGTTGATATGTTAGTTCAAGAATGGCAGCGCTTTATCTTTTTATGATTAAAAAAAAAAGTTTTCGAGACTTATCTATCTCACCACATGATTCAAAATATAATACTCTCTCTGTTATCTTTTATTTGTATTAGTTTGACCGGCACATTTGTCGATACGCAACTTTGACCATTAATATCTTTAATTGTCAATTAGTAAATACTAGCTAAAGTTTCATGCAATGCACGATTTTTACTAAATTATACTTGGATTATTTATTTTTTTGAAAGGGAAACAAAAAAAATATACTAAATCATAATTGTATGGTAAAGTATAACATTAACGCAAAATTTAACAATTATATACTTACAAAAAATTTATAGTATCATAATATATTACTTATTTGTTCATTTTTATAACCAACTTGCCTAAGGAAAAATAAATAAGTAAAAAAATATTTCATTTGAGTGTTTAAGGAAAATACAATTGTGTAAGGTGAATATTATAGGCCATGATATAAATACTTTTCATATGAAGGATTAAAAAATAAAAAATAAAAATAAAAAAAATGGAGGGAAAATTTTCAACCAGTGGATTTCGCTTTTAGTATTAAAAAAGGAAAAAAGGAAAAATACATGTGTCATCAGCGATTTCGCTTTTAGTATTAAGTTATTGACGGATTGATTATAATAAAATTATATTATGAAACTAGACATTATGAAGAATCTAATGATATATTATATAATAACATTTATTCATTTTATAGAGGTGAGCAAATCAAGTCAACATATCATTTTTTTTACACTAATCCTCTGGTGATGTGTTGAGCCTAACTTGTCAAATTATTATATACATTGCTCACCCTTTTAGGGTCTGTTCTGATTGATTGAATTGAACTGAACTGAACTGAATTTAACTGGACTGAATTGAACTGGAGTGAATATTTTATGAGAGAAGGAAATTAAGAACTGAACTGACCTGGAAATAATCTGAAGAGAATAGGCCCTTAGATATTTCCATTCTCTTTGCCACTCTTTATTACCACTTCTTTGAGCCAAAGTCAAACAATAATAACCCTAATTAATCACTCTTTATACCCCCATTCTTTTTGCTACATATGTTAGTTCAAGAAGTGCGCCACCAAAGCAACCACCCACCAAATTAAATATTTGACCACGAGTTTTATCTTCCATGGCTGGTGATCACATTTTAATCACAAGTTATCCTAAACTTATGAACTCGAAATTGTTGAATATGATTTTGGGTACTCGATTACATATACGGTGTAATTGTTAAACAAAAGACAAAATTACACTTGTAATTACTTATATATGATCTTTTCAAAACTTATTAAATATTTTTTTTTATTAAAATAAGGCACTATTTGAATCGGTGAAAACCTTTTCCTAGAAAACAATTTTAAACTTTTTTAGGGAAAAATAGAAATTATGGTTGAAAATTCATTTTACAAGCGGCGAAAAACTTCTTTTGAAATTTTGGAGGGAAGCAACATTTTCCTTTTCTCTCCTACCTTGTTTGATTCTCTCTCCTCACATCTTGTTCCATCTATTGCTATGTAAACATTTATTCTTTGTCTAACCTTTTTACTACTACACTTATATGATCCTTCTCCTCCATTTGCCTACATTATTTGATTACTTTTGGAAACAATTTGTTAGGTTTATAAGGAAGACAATATGTATCAATCAAACTAAACAAAGGAAAAAGTTTTCAAGGTATTTCATTGAATTCCATTTTTTCAGGAAAATTGTTTTTTACATCAAGAATAGAGTCTAAGTGAAATTAAGATTAACATAATCAAAACCTTATATGTACATTCAGATGCGCAATAAAAGTAAGTACACCTAGAATGATATTTTTCCTCATTTCATATCTATTTTTGCTCATTTTAAAATTCTAAAATAAACATATACTTCGTACATTATATTAACAGGTAGAAAATACCTTGTACACTTTGAAATTTTAAACCTTGGGGTGTGGCTCATTCCATTCACTTTAGTATCAAATACATGAAATTAAGGGGATGATATTCCATTTCAAAATTGAACTTAACACGTGGTATTAAGGGTCTATTCTCATTAACTGAAATGTGCTGAATTGAACTGAACTGAACTTATTAGAGCTGAACTGAATTAAACTGAAATGAATATTTTATAAGAGAAGGAAATTAGGAGCTGAACTGAACTGAACTGAAAACAATCGTATGAGAACAAGCCCTAAGTATCAAGTTCTAACCCAATACCACCTTAACCCTATTCCTGATTCCAAACCTACATCACTTTACGAATCGAACGCCCTTGTAAATGGTTTCATTACAAAAGCATGACCAAAATTTAAGTGAACACGACGGATATCTAACCAAGCTCTTAGCCCAACCCAAATCCCAGCTTTTAATTCAATACACAACCAAAGCAGCCCATAAACACAAACAAAAAAGCCCGAATTACAAACAACAAAACTAGGGTTTTATTGAGTCCAACGACGATATAAAACCCTAATTTATCGTCCCCTTCATTTCTTTCTGAGATCTCTCCTATAGCCTCAACAACTCAAACCCCCATTTTTAGAGCTTAGGTTTTCCTCTTTCTCTCTTTAATTTTGCTTTCAATTTGTTGATTTCTTCATCATGTATTTAAGTTTTTTATACTTATTTTTTCTGGGTTTGCATAAAATTTGCAGGAGAAGAAAAATGGCGACAGTACCAGGATCTTTGGTGTGGGAGATCGTTAAGAAGAACAACTGCTTTTTGGTGAAGGAATTTGGAAATGGATCTGCTAAAGTTCAGTTTAGCAAGGAAAACAACAACCTTTTCAACAAACACTCCTACAAGTATTCCGGTAATAATAATTTCTACTATTTTTAGTTGATCAAAATTGTATTTAAGTTTGTTTTCAGTTTTATTTGTGTGGTATTTTTCTGGGTTTTTGATGATTCATGTGGTTGATTGTAATTTGCTGATATTTGTTTAACAATGTGTTGGTTTTGATGATTGTTTGGTTTTCTTAGTTATATGTTATTATTTGATTTATTATCTTTCTATTTAATTTTTGGGTTTTGTTGATTCGTTTGATTGTTTGGAGATGGCAAGTAAAGTGAAAATCTTGGATTTTTGATGGTTTAATTAGGTGGGTGTATATTATTGTATATATATTTTTGTAATTATTGTTGATTGAATTGTATTAAATTGTCATTTTGAGTGGCTTTCATGCGTAGCTTGCTGCTTTTTAGGGTGTTGATGTGTATTTATGTAGGATTTGTTGACTTGTAGCTCTGATCAAGTGATGAGTATTTGAGGAGCTGTTGTGAAATTCATTTCTCCTAAAATGAAGTGTTTGTGCTAGAATGGCCTTGATAATATGTACATACAATTGCGGGTTTTATTACTCGTTTCATTTATTGATCATTACTTTCCTGCATTTTTGGAGCAACTGTCTTCTTAATATGTGGTGTGTAGTGTGCTACTGTCGTTCGTGTTTTATACCATGTTTTTGTTTTATACTAAGATTGGCTATGTAGTAGTGCCGTAGTTTAAGATAGGGTTGTGCTTATTGTAAATTAAGCATGTGTTTGTTCTCTTAGGTCTTGCAAACACCAAGACTGTGTCTGTTCAACCAGGAGGCAAAGACTCAGTTGTGCTCGCTACAACCAAGACCAGGAAGCAGAACAAGCCCGGTAGTCTAAAACACAAGTCTGTGATGAAGAAAGACTTCAGCAGGATGGTCAAGGCTGTTGAGAACCAGGTAATTGATTATTTGTTTATTTTATAAAAGGCGTGAAATGAATTTTCTTATGTTCCCCCATAAATTGAGTATTAAGACTAATCACAATTCACTATCAAGTATTGAAGTTTAGTGATAAGACTAGGCTATTTATTTACCAGAACATTGGTTTGCTTGAATTGAAATGCTATGTTTATATGTTGGAATGCTATGTTTATATGCGGTCTTGGATAGGGAGGTTTGTGCAGTGTTTAGTGTAGAAGCACCATCTGTTTTTGTTGATTGGGAACATTGAATTCTCATGCCCCTCGTGGGCCTCGACTGAAAGTTTTCACTGATAGTCTGATGCATTACATGCATACCTTAATCCCTCGTCTGATAATGAGCTAAACCTGGCTTTCTTTAGCTTCTTATTATTGGATGAGTTGCTGGAAGATGTAGTTTATCCTCTTCTCAATTATGATGAATGTTGGCCTATGTTGGTTCTTCACAGGCCATTTGTTAATGTTCAATTTGTGGATACTGAGGAGATTGGGCTGCTGTTACATTGTTGAAAAACTATGAGTTAACTAGGATGTTCCCTTTGTAGGTGTATTTGAATACTAGCTGTATTAAGTCAGTTGATTGCTCTGCTACGATGATTGTAGCAGTATTTAAGATCCTATTTCTGTCAATCTGCATTTATTTGTTTTGAGCCTTTTTTTTCTACTTGATCTTAACATTTTCTGCTCGTGTATGGCAGGTTTCCGACAATTACTACAGGCCTGACTTGAAGCAAGCTGCCCTTGCAAGGTTGAGCATTGTGAACAGAAGCCTTCAAGTTGCCAAGTCTGGTGTTAAGAAGAGGAACAGGCAGCCACCTAAGCTCCGCGGCAGGAAGTGAATTAGGTGTTGAAATTTTGTCATACTTTTGAGTAGTAGTTCTGGATGACTCTTCGACTCAATCTCCCATTTTGTTTCTCTTAGTTTTTGTCGTGTGAGACAGTATTATTTTCAATTTATGAGAAATAGACGACTTGGTTTCAACTGTTTTTGTCATACAACTAATGTGTTTGTGGAATGGATACATAGAAGCAATCATTATCATTGAAAGTTGGAAGTTGTTATTTCATCCACCATAATTTGGATGGTTTATTTCCTTTCCTTTTTGCTACTACCATAATTTGGATGGTTGATTTCCTTTCCATCTTGCTACTTGTGACATACCTTAACACTGCTAAGGGAGTATATGAATAATGATTCTAATTGATCTGTTTGTTTATCTTGCTGATGATCCAATGATACTGTAACCGTTCGGTTGGCTTGTTGCATCATTAAGTGCTCTTCCTATTCCATATTAATCAACAAAGTTATTACTGTACTAGTACTGTCCGCACAGTAAGAACTACACGAAGTATCATAAGTTGTAATTAAATATGACATGTAATTGGGTACAAAGGGGTAATCACTTTCATCTTTCTTCTGCAATCACAAATATGACATGTGAAGTTCATCTAGAGGGCTCAACCCAAATTTTATTGCCTTACGGAAACACGGGGAAATAGACAAGTACATAGTAAAAGAAATCTCAAGAATGCAGCATTCACAAATTACAGGAAGGGTGACTTGAATCTTTAAACATAGTTTTGTTTTGACAATTTTCTGTTTTATGTAGGAGCCCTTAGTTAACAACCAATATAAAGTTCAGAATCTTTTCTATGTACAAGTAAACACTGCTAATCAATAAGCTCAGTGTAATCTTTATGCTGACTGTAGCCAACTAAGAGCAACAGCTAGAGTTTTGGTTGACTGGTTGGCCACGAATTTGCACACCGGAAGGCTTGTCTGCACCGGCTCCAGGTTGAGTAGCCATTCTGCATAAGAAGAAATAGAATGATTGACCTGTAATTTACTTTAATATGAAGAATATAAACCTAATACGAAACATACCGATTCTTTATGTCTGTTGTCATGGTCAGAAACGCCTGCTCAACATTGGTAGCATCTTTGGCACTGGTTTCCAGGAAGGGGATACCAATTTCATCGGCATATGCCTTGAAAAAAATTCCAAAGAATCGTTAGCTAACTTGTTCTTTTAGCTTGCACATTCGTACATTGTATTACTGATCAATTGAACATTAAAATCATCCGCATACCTTAGCAGTTTCATAAGGAACAGCTCGATTGGCAGTTAAGTCGCTTTTATTTCCCACCAAGAGCTTGTTCACATTATTGCTTGCATAACGATCAATTTCACTAAGCCATTGTTTCACATTATTGAAGCTTTCTTGGTCTGTGATGTCGTAAACAATCTAGCAGAAAACAAGGGCAAGTTCTGTCAAAACTGTATAAAAGGTGGAACATTTTTCAAGGTTGATCGACTTAAGCTTACAATGATTCCATGTGCTCCACGGTAATAGCTACTTGTAATTGTCCGGAAACGTTCTTGACCAGCAGTATCCCACTAAATCAAGCACAATAACGATGTAAGGTGACTAAATATAATGCTGGAAACAATTAGAGAAGCTGAAAAATACTTACAATCTGCAGCTTTATGGTCTTGTTATCCTGCTCCACTGTACGAATTTTCTAAAGCACAAACAAAAAAAAAAGTTGATAATAATCAATTCACAGGAGAAAGTGTCCAATTCAGTTTACCAACAAAATGTCATTACTCACAAAGTCAACTCCTATGGTGCTTATGTAGCTGTCCAGGTACGAATCGTCCTTCATTACCAAACAAGTAGCAGTCAGCCATAGTAACATAAATACACAGAAGTTCAAGGGGTGCTTCTGATGGAAAATTCACAACTGATGGTACATTAGTATGAAGCAATTAAATGCAGAAATACAAGTTTCTCAACGGTAGCAGAACAGTTCACTATCATTGATGTTCTTAACCTGCGGAAAGAAGGAAGCATAGCAGACAAAACAATGCAAAAAATACACCACAAACAGCTATTATGATCAACATGCCAAAGGACCAGAGAGAATTAGATGGCATTATTTTACATAACGTATACAACTCTCTGACATGTTCTCTCAGAAGAAATAAGGAAACCACAAATCAGTGCAGAGAAGAAAGTTTATAATCAATAGAAAGTTCTGCCTAGACATTTGTAGAAAAGAGAAAACTTAGCTATGGGATATTAAATAAGAAGAAAAGGTCAAAGTAATAAGAAATTTACAGAGCTAGTCAATAATGTGTTTCAAGTACTATTGCATCGTTTCATTGCTTGTCATAAAACCAACAAGAGAAACTTCCAAACGTCTACATCAGCAATATCTTTAGGGGTCAGTGGTCGGGTGCCACAACTCTACAATGCAAGTTCTGCATCCCACTTAGTGGCCAGATGCTTGGATTCCAGAATCTTTGCAAATTCATTGACCTCAAGGCTCAAACAGATGTAAAAATAAAGCAAAAGTTACACTATAAAGAAGAACAGAAAATTTTGTCTGTGTGTCGAGAAATAGAAAGAAAGCCTATAAGAATAAGATTAGTGAAATTGAATTTTTAGCCTAGTGATGAATTCCTGAAAAGAACACTTTTATCATGCTATATCCCTGGGATGATTAGACCAAAACTGCTAAACCTCCAAAAGTCCTATGATTATCTAATTCGTCTGATTGAAATCAGAAAAGGGGCATTTATAAAATACGGAGTACATGTGAAGGCTTATAAGACCAAGAAACCAATATCCCTCATGGACTTATGAGACGTCAGACTGTACTCCTGTAAAAGAATTGAATGAGTAGACCTGCAAGATGTTGAAACTTGAAATGCTGTAGTTCACTAGAAAGGTAAAAAGTCAGTGCCAGCCTTCTTCCCAATCCCCCCCTACGTCACTTCTAGCAAATCTGTAAGAATGCTTATGTAGCTTACAGTTACTACACCCAGTCCTACTAGAAAAGGGCTACATAACAGACCTTTTCCATAACTACAATGCTGTATCAGAGAGCTAAAAAGACAACCTTTAAGCTTAATCTACGGCAAATTTCTTCACACTAAAGACATTATCCACGAAAATCAAAAGCTGACTTTTATAGCAGTCATCTGGCAGAGGTCCTCCTTGTTACCAGATGAAATCCAAACATTGTACTGAAACATTACAAGCACAAAAATGAACTGACGTACCGCAAATCTGAGTAAAAGACATGATTTTCCCACTCCAGAGTCGCCAATGAGCAAGAGCTTGAAGAGATAGTCACTGCAGTGTTTATACAATCAGTTTATGGTAAAAGGCCAACCTCAAGGAAGACTTATATAGTCAAATGTAGCTCAAGAGTCCTTGACTAGAATACAAATGATTGACAACATAAAATGCAGCTTAATTTTTAGAAAGGAAGTAGGTTTTTGCAGCTAACTAGTCAAACACAAAAATCCTAGCAGATCTTAGAATTAGCATAGTCCTTGTACATTTTTTTGGATTATTTTGTGTTTGGTTGGTGGATAACTTCTGTAGATTCTAATATCAATGATTTAATTCAGACAAATACATTAAGATTTTTGTGCATCTATCTCCAAGATATACATCCCTTGTCCTCAGCTAAATGTCTCACTTCCTATCTTACGGTATTCCATAATAAGTCTACATTTCCCTTATGTTCGTAACTTAAATGACTTAATTGCAACATCCCCTGTGAATTTTCCTAGGATCACAAGATCTAACTAAAGACAGATTCCCATAAAGTTCATGGCATTGAGCAACAAATTCAGCAATGAATTATTTCCACCACAAATTACGGGCAGCATTTTTTTTTTTTTAAAATCTACTTTACTCGAACTCTTTATTTTTATCTTAAGAACCCACACCAAATCAACACTCCAACATGAGTACGAATACTTCATTTTGAACCTAACACATGGAAATTACTCATACAAAAGCCGAGTTCAACACTTGGAAGCGTACTCTGATACGAGTTCCCGAGTCCAACCTCATCTTAATTTACTCCATTTAACCAAACCTCACACGGTCCTCACATGGTACTCTAATACGAGTTCATCCAAAATAATAATTCTAGTTTCAAAATTTCCCATCTTAATTTACTCCATTTAACACCCATCAACTAGTGACAACTACTGCCTTCATCCAATCATACAATAATATTTTTTCTCCCTAAACTATGAACCTAATAATTCTAGTTTCAAAATTTCCCCATTTAAAAATAAAGAATTATGTAAAGCAAGAAAATTTCAGCTCCGATCAGGGTCAAACTTTCACAAAATAATAAATTCAACAAAAAAAATTGAAGTAATAAAATGAATAATTCTGGAAATCGAATTCAACAAATTAATCAAACCAAAACCCTAAATAATCCATCCAATCAAATAATTAATAACTAGTTAATTAAACTGATCATGAAGAGATATAGAAAGAGCTTACTATTCGGGATTCATCGCAATTATAAAGTGAAATTCGGCTTCAGAAATTACAAAATTTGGAGCAGAAATTGGAGTAAATTCAACTCTGGTTACGTATGAAGAGAGAGAGACAAAAAAAAAGGTTGGTTTGAATGATTGAAGTTAATCTTCAGTCAGTTGACAGGTATACACGTTTATTTATTTATTTTTGGCATTATTGTAGACGTAATTACTTGTTGGGCTTTCATTTTGTCAACAGCCCTAAATTTAAGCCCACATATGTATAGCTGGATAATTCTTAACACCTACCCCCTAGTGTAGCTTCCACTACCTACACCCCCCCCCCCTTAAACACTGCGTATCACTCCACTAACCCACAGTAACCACTAACCCCACTAACCACACACTAACCGCAGTAAAATACTAACTGCACAGTAACCGCCCCTACCCCTTCCATATATATATTTAAAAAAAACCAACATTTTCTCTCTCTAAAAGATTCCTCTCAAACATTCTTCCATTTTTTCTCTCATAAAATTCAAAAAAAATCGAAGCATTTACAACAAAAAATTGTTCAAAATTACTTGAAAATTAGTACAAATGTCTGAAATTCAAGGTGATAAAGCAGAATCAGAACAAGATTTAGGAAAAGAGTAAGTAATTTTGTTCATTTATTTTTGCAATTGTAGTACGATTTTAAATATGAAACCTAATTTTTGGTTCAATTTCTTGCGATTGAAGTGTAATTTCGCAAAAGGAGACTTCACAGAAGAACATTGAAGTTGAAACTGCAAAATCGGAACAAGAGTAAGTAATATTGTTAATTTTGTTCATTTATTTTTGCAATTGTAGTACGATTTTAAATATGAAACCTAATTTATGTTCAATTTATTGCGATTGTAGTGTGAGTTTGCAGAAGAACATTTCAGAGAAGAACATTTTGCAGAAGAACACTTCAGAACGGAGTAATTCGGAGAAAAATACTGAAGAAATGTATGAACCCTAATTTAGTTCAATTTCTTGCGATTTAATGTGTGAACAATAATTTTTGTTAAATTCCTTGCAATTATAGTGCGATTTTAACAATTAATTAAACAAATCAGAGATGATGATGAAATACCTCTTCAGTCAAGAGTAGATAAATTGAAAAAAAAGCGCGAAAAAAGTCCAATTGTAGATCCTGAACTTTTAAAAGATATTGAAAAGTCAAGCGGTACAGATCTAAAAATGTCTCCAATGCCAAGGTATATAATCAGTTACATAATATATTATGTTCATTTTGAATATACTATTTGTATCTGATCATATGGTTTTATAATTGTTTAATATGTTGTTTGGATTTGATTATTAATAATGTTATCATGATCTTAGCTATATAATCATATAATCGTATATGATCATATTTGATACTCATAATGTTTATTTATAGATATAGTTTGATTTATATTTGTTCTTTGAATATTCATTGGGGCTTAAATGCACATTTAATTGAAACTCCATGAACATATAGAAATATGATAATAATCATTTCAGTTGTATGCCTTCAAACTAATACGATGTAATTAATTTATATTGTAGTGATGTACCGTTTAGAGTGATACACTTGCTTCAATTTAGAGATGGAAAATCTGAACCATTAACTCTAAAGAAAGTTATTGAACAAAATGAATTTGGTAGTAGTTATCAAAGATACACTCTAAACAAGTAAGTTTATATGTATTAAATAGTTGTTTTTATATGCAATAATTCTACATTGTGTATATATATCAAACTTATTAGGTAATTCTTAAAATTTTAGTGAAAAAAAAAGGTTCGAGTGAAATTTATTATGTCAAAATCAAGACCACCAGAGACAAATCAACAAATGAGGTATAAAAACTTTATACCAAAATAACTAGTGCTCTACTTCATAATATAAATTATTTATACTTCAATGTCATATTATATAAAATAATCCTAATTTTTTTAGTGAACAAAGTGAGAATGTCTCTGCTACTCAAAATGAGATTGGAAATCAATCTGCACAAGAGAGTAGAAATCAATGGTATGCTAATGCTAACTTTTGTATTAAAAAATATTCATTTTACATATGATACTTGTTCATTTTTTTTCAACAAATTAGAACTAATAAATATATTCAATATTCAGTAACAAAAATGTGGAGCAAAAACAGGATACAATTCCATTTGAAAAGGACAAAGATAATGTTGATCAAAGGTATTAATAAAAAAATGTTCATTTTATTATAGATAAATGTCCATTTTGTGTACCATTTATGTGCTTTTTTATTAAAAGTATCACCTAATATTGATTTCAGCAAGGCAAAAGGAGTTGAATCAGAGGGGAAAAGCAATACAGAGAAGATAAATACTGGGCCAAAGTAAGAAATATTAAATGTTCATTTTATATAGACTTTATGTTCATTTTTTATAGACTAAATGTTCATTTTATAATTAATTAGTCAAAATTATATATTCATGTATGTTTTTAATAAATTATCAGAAAAACCAAAGATGATGATCAAAAGAAGCCAAAAATAACAACTTTAAAGGAGAAGATGCAACAAGTACATATAGACATAGAAGAAAACCCAAAGTATGTTCAAATTTGAATAACTAAATAAAATAAAATAAATAATGTTATATATAAAAATTTCATAACACTATCTCACAATTACAGGAAGTACAATGAATCAACACTGAGAATCATGAAAAATCTCAAAAGAAGAGAAGAGTTGTACAAGAAATTTAACAAAGGTAAATGTTCACATATATTGAACATTTTGTTTAATGTTTATATATATCAGTTATAATAACCATATTCATTTTGCAGGTAAAGAAAAACAGAAGAAAAAAGATTCTGTAAAGAAGAATATTCCTGAAAAAGAAAAAAGCCCTGAAAAGAAAGAGCTGAAAGGTAAAAAGTTAAAATGTACATATTTATTTCATAAAATGTTCATTTTTGATATATATGATAAATTATTGTAATGTTCAATAAGATTAATCAATTTCAATTTTGACTGAAATAATTCTCTTAGAAGCACAAGAGGAAAAGAGGCAAGAAATAGACAAAAACACTGAAAAGAATACTGTGGAAAATGTTTTTCAAAAGTCAGATGAGAAAAAAGGTAAAAAATGTAAAATGTACATATTTATTAGATAAAATGTTCATTTTTAATCTGCATAAATTTCAAATTTCCTAATATAATTCTTATACTATGAGGAGGGAATAAAGGGCCAGAAAATGAGAAAATCCCTATAGAGAAACCTGTGAAAGATTCTTCTCAAAAGACAACAGATCTGGAAGGTAAAATTTTAAAATGTACATATTTATTACATACAAAGTTCATTTTTGATCTGCATAATATATAATGTTCAAGAAAGTTAATTTATTTCAATGATAAAATATGTATAGCAGGGCAAAAGGAAGATATGCCAAAGGCAACCCAGAAAGAAACTAAAGGTAAAATGTTCATTTATATTGTAAATAATAAACATTTTACATTATTTTCCATAAATGATCATTTAAAATTTATCATTTGATCATTTAACATGCAGCAGAAATGGCATATGATTATTATGAAATTGAGGATGAGACTGATCTAATATCTGAGGATTTGGATAGTGCACGTGTAAATGATGATCAAGCTCCATCATCTCAAAAGAGTGAACAATCAAGCCAAAGGAAAACAAGATACAAAACAATAGCAAGAAAAAACAAAAATAAAACCCCTATAGTGCCAAGTACAAGAGTTACAAGAAGCCAAGGTAAACATAACACTTTTGTATTTAATGTTAAATAGAAAATATTTATCTTTACTAACAAAAAGTTTAAAAACACAATAGATGTTTTGTTAGATGAATCTGCTAATGAAGGCCAAAAGGAAGAAACTGCTGATCCTGCTGAAGTATCCACAAAAAAAGGTGTGCAAAGAAGAATTTCTCCAAGGAAATCTGCAGCACCTACTCCAATAAAACAAATGGCAGGTGCCCCTTCTGAATATGTTCAAGCACCTATTAGAAAAATGGCAGGTGCTCCTGCTGAATATGTTCAAGCACCTATTAGAAAAATGGTTGGTGCTCCTGCTGAGAAAGTTGTGGAACAACAAGGAAAAAAGGGTAAATGTTCAATTGATTAAAAGTTTGTTATGTTTTAATTAATTTAATATTTGTATGTAATATATAAAACTTTAAAATTATATAGGTGGAAAAAAGAGACCTGCAGGACAATTGCAGAAAACTTCTAAGGTTGCTGGCAAAAGAAAAGCAGGTATACAATGATTTGTGATAAAAGTTCAATTTCAATGTATAGAATGATCATATATAAAAACTATATTGTTCATTTTGTCATTTGATTAAATTTCATTTAAATACATGGCTAATCATATATGATGACTTTTATATTCATGTCAATTTTCAGCTGCCAAGAAAAATGTTGGAAAAAGAAAAAAAATTCAAGAAGTGCCATATGATGAACCATCTCAAGATCCTTCTGACAGTGGTGATGACAGTGAAGAATCTGTCTATAAAGTTGAAAAAGAACCTGTTAGTAAGGAAGATGATGAATTGGAGGATGAGGAGGAGGAGGTTGAAATTAAGCCAAAGAAGAAAAAAGCAAAGAAGGAGGAGAAGGTGGTGAAGCCAAAGGCTGAGAAGAAGGTGCAAGAGTTGGTTGTGTATAAGTTAGAAGGTGAAGATAAGAAAAAAAAGAAAGCAAAAACTGAAATAATTGAGGCAGATGAAGTTGAAGAAATTGATGAAGAACAGTTTCAAGAAGAGAAAGCATCAACAAGAGGGGGCCATGTGAAGTTGATGCAATGGATAAAGCAAATGAGTAAAGAATAGAAATTAGAGATACAGGAGATTGGATTAGGAGCCCTGCTTGAAATCTAGTTACCTCAATTGGATCAAAGTTTCTGTTATTGGATTTTAAACAGTTTTGAAGAAAACAGTCAAACTTTTGAACTTTCAAAAAATCATTCGATTGAAGTGGAAGTGGAGGATATTAGAGTAGTTTATGGTCTACCAATGGGAGAAATACCCATTGTTGAAGCAAAATCAGAAAAAGCAAGTGAGGAGTTTGTAGGTTTTATGAAGAAGTGGAGAGGAAAATGGAATGGAAAAATTCCTTCCGTAAGCCAAATTGTGGCAAAATACATTGACAAAAAGTTTGAGAAAGACAGACCTGACAATGAAGATTTCATTACAAACTTTTTGGTGGTGGCAGTGAATGCATTGATAAAGTGCATACAAAACAATCGATGCCATTACAAGTTTCTCTATTCAACAATGCACAAGGAAAATATTAAAAACTTGAATTGGTGTCAATATGTGTTTGATTCACTGATAAAGAACCATGTTGATTGGAGAAAACAATCAAGCAAGGGATTCTACAAAGGACCCCTACAATTTCTAATGGTATGAATAATAATGTTCATTTTTTAATTATTGTTCAAATTTGTTATAATAATTGTTCAAATATATATGTTGATAATTGATCAAATAAAATATTCATTTATTATTTGGTAATTGATCAAATATGTTTTATAATTGATCATATATAATTTTGATCATATATAATCTGATAGTTAATCATTTTATTTTTTTGTAGCTGTTCTATTTTGATAGAGTCCAGAGATTGGGGAAAAAGCCACCAAGAACAATTCCAATTATTTCTGTTTGGAAACGGGACATGGTTCTTGAAAGAATAAAAAATGAATTGGAATTGGGACTTGGTAAAGGGAAGATACTTCCTAGAATTGTTGAAGAAGCTGAAATCAGTCCTGAGGTATGTAAAATGAACACTTTGAAATACATAAATGTTCATTTCTTTAATATGAAATATATTGGTTAAAATCTAACAATTTATCTATAATATAGATTTTTATGAATGATTTCATTGATGTGGTGATTGAAACTGGTCGTTCCTTGTCAAAACTATCAAGCAAACTGTTGAAAGCTAAGGAAATATTCCCTGAAAATGACTTGGTAAAGAAAGTTGTAGAGGTTATGGGGAAAGTGGCAAGAGAACAATCAATCTTAAGCCAAGATGAAGAAATCTATGGCTCCGAAGATTTCTTGAATGCAATTGCAGAAGCTAAAAGGGAATTTTTTAAAGCAGCTGATATGGAGAAAAACAAAAAAGGAAAACAAAAAAAGGAGGAGTTCAACATCAACAAAGCATTCAGTTTGGGACTTACTCCCCCATCTCCACAAATTGGTAAGAACAAAATAAAAATGTTTAAATATGATACTCAATATATTTAATGATATGTTTAACTAACAATTGTTTTTTGTAAAAAATGAAATCAGATACAACAAATCCAACATCTACAACTATGGGTGTTATTGCAGTTGAAGCTTCTGCTTCTGTAGAAGATGAAAATCCTACTGGAAAATCTCCTCCTATAGGTAAAAAAAATGTTCATAATTATTATGTATAATGTTCATATTCATATTTGTTAATGTTCATTTTATAAACTGCAGAATTGGCGAATCCAAAGAGCACTGAAAATCAAGCCTCTGGTTTTGTACAAGTTGTAGAAGACAATTCACAAAAAAAACTCCAGCAGCTAGTGAAGTTATGAGGAACAAGGAAAGTGAACAAGAACAGGGGTAAAAAGCAAAACCCCAGCAATTAGTGATGTCCTATGTATTATTAGTAATAATGTAGTTTATTTTGGTGTTTCAAAAAAACAATTAAGGTTTATGTAACTTTGAAGAATGTTTTATTAAATCAAGAACAAGTAAGGGTTATGTAATTTATGAGTTTCAACATGTTATTGTAATATTAATTAGTTTTTGTGTGGTGTAAACTATTTCTATTAATAATTTAGTTGTTAAAATATAAACATAACATTATGTTACTAACTTGATTTGATTTTCAGAAAACAAGTGAAAAATCTAACAGTGGAGATACAGAAGGAAATTTTGACAATAAAGAAAAAGAATTAAGATTCATCTTCCTCAGAGACTGGCAAAAGGTAAAGATATTACATATCTTGCTCAACAAATAAATGAACATTTGTGGGAACCAATATGTTCATATATAAATTACTTTTTGTTCAGGGAAGAAAATATAAAAAAAAGTCATCGAGAAGTCAAATGAAACACAACCAGAAAAGAAGATAGATGACAGGTATAAATTACAATCCTTAATTTTCTAATTATTTTAAATGTTCATCTGTACATACATATATGATAATATTTGGTTCATAATATGTTCAGTTCATCAAAGAGGCCACAACGTCAATCCCAAACTCTTCCTCTTGCATTTAGATCTCCATATATGGTCAAATACAAAGATCTTTTTAAAGATGAGAAAAAAATGAATCAACTTGTATGTGACTTTGCTTACAGTGGAGAAGATGAAAGGTAACTTATTCATAATACATAAACTTTTATAAGTTTTTGAGAAATTACTCATTTACACATTGCTTAATGTTCATTTGCAGTGCACTTTTATATCATGATGGATTAAATAACATAAATAGAGCAGAAATGAAAACACTTGGAGATGATGTACAAGTTATGAATTGTGTCATAGATTCATGGGCAACAATTCTAAATCATAAGAACACAAAAAACAAGATATATTTCTCAACAATGCCACATGTAAGTTTATTTCAATTATTTTAGATTTTTATTACTCAACAAAGGTTTTATTAATTAATGTTTACATGTTTAAAAATGCAGCAAATTATGTGCACAAATAATGTGTGCAGAGAGGGGTCAACAATGGAAAAAAGATGTAAGGACTTCATAGAAAGAATAAACAATGAATTAAAGATGTACAAAATCAAAAGCATTGTTGGATACAAACAGGTAACATCAATACATATATTATAACATGTTCAATTCTAATAAATTAAATGTTCAATAATAATATATTATTTGTTCATATATTTTTTCCAGCAGCAGCTGCCAATCATTTTTTCGTGTTGTGCATCAATCATATGAAGGATACCATCCATATCATCGACAATAGAAAGTTACCACAACATGTATCAGTACCTCAAAAGTATCTTGACCAACCAAAAATGATTGTAAGTTAAAATATTATTCAATCATTTTGATAAATGACTAATTTTTATTATATACATTTTAAATGTTCATTTTCTGATCAATAAATATTCACTTGTTGATTGATAAATGTTCAAAACAGCTAAAAGGATTGGCTGCATACATGAAACATATTGGTTATGAGGATGCAAGTTTCATTGAAGATTATCAAATTGTATTGGAAAAAATGAAATGGCGCAGCAATGCAGACTACACAAACTGTGGAGTTTACATTATGAAGCATATGGAAATTTTCACTGCTGATCCTAATGAAGAATGGATTTGTGATTTGAAAGCAAACAACGTAAGTATATCAAATGTTCAATTATATAACATGTAATGTTCATTTATATAACATATAATTGTTCTTAACTTATAATTCATTCTTATTCGCAGCTGAACCAAATAAGGAAACTGAGGATGCAATACACAGCTGAACTGATGCTTTTTGAAGAAAACACTGAGTCTAGGATAAATAGAAGAAAAGCAAGAAAGTTGGAAAAATAGTAGTAATATAGTCATTTTTCATATAAAGACAATTTCAATGTATAAACAATATTTCATATTTAGACAATTTCATTTACATATCAGCATTATTATTTTAAAAAGTTTGTATTTGGATATTTCTTTTTAATCAATTTCATGTATAAAAAAATTACATATAAAATGTTCATTTATTTAAGCATAAATGTTCATATTCAAATATGATCATATATCATAAAAAGTTGCATGTGTTGATAAAATCATATATAATACTATGATAAATGATCAAATATGAACACATAATGTACATATATAAATAATAAAAAGAACATATTTTCAAAGTATATATATAAAAAAATGGAACTGTTAATAATATTTGGTAGAAACACATTCTAATATCAATAATGGTGTAAAAAAGATATATAATCTGACAATATAATTATTAAAACAAGTATGAAATACTGATTATAATAATACTTGAAGAAGTATTAGCTCTCTTATTTACCACTATTAGCTAATCTCTTAGCTACATTAGTATCAAAAAAAGCTAAAAATCTATCATACTTGGTAGAAAACTGTCCAGAACCAACATCATCATTTCTTGTAACATTAGAAGCACTCTCATTATTAGCCCTTGAAGAAGTAGCACTAACTTGAACATTCTTTTGAGTAGAAGGAAGAACAGTAGAATGTATTGGAATTGTTGGAGCCCTAAAAGCGTAATGATCATTCAAAGAACCAACACGCACCCTTTTCGAAACATTTGTAGATGTATATCTACTAGCATTGGCTTGAACATTCTTTTGCATAGAAGAAAGAATAGAAAAACGTATTGGAACTCTTGGAGCTCTACTAGCAGCATTATCATTTACAGAACCAAAATGAACCCTTTTTTGAACATTTGTAGATATGTGTGAATCCTTTTCCTACACAAGAAAATTAAACATTATGAGACAATTAAATGTTCAATTTCTAAAAACAAAATGAACAAATAAGATAATATTACCTTAGAAATAGCAGAAATATCTGGATCAACAAATATATTGGATTGAAGAGAGCTTTCGCCAGTAGCCTTTAAATTTTTTTTTGAAAATGTTAAAAATGTACATATAAAATGGAAAGTACAAAATGCATCTATTAAAAATTTTGTAAATACCTGATCAACCTCATTTAGAACACTTTGATCAGAATCCTTTGAGCTAGAAGGAATATCTACAACCTATAATTTATTATTATAAATTAATTTTTATAAAATAAATATAATAATCTTCATAAAATAAAGAAAGTAAATAAATTAACCTGATGTAAGGGGTTTTCAAGAACAATTAAGTCAGTCCCTTAAAAAAAAAGAACAATTAAGTCAGTAGGATCATTTACAGAATTGGCATAACTAATTGCAAATCCATTCTCATCAAATTCCTAGCAAAAAAAAAAAATTATGTTTGAAATATATAATCAAATATAGTTATATAAATGTTCATTCCTGAAGATAATGTTGTATATAATGAATTAAATGAACATATATGATAACATAAATGATCATAAATACCTGAACAACAGCTTGACCTTTAGCTCGTATATAAGGAGTATAAATAGCCTTTCTCTTCCTCCAATTACCCTTTGCTTTGTTGCATGCTTTCTCTAAGGCACTCTTTGGCCTAAAATTCCTCTCACCAGCAGGCCTTGATTTTGGTGGATTCTTGACTTCATGATCAACAATTTCAATACCTTCAGCAGGCTCACTAAAATCTATAGCACCAGAAACACTCTCAACCTTTTCCTTTAAAAGGTTAAAATAACAATCAACCTCTGCCCTTGCATTCAATGAATTTTGACAACTTGTTACCAACTTGACAAATTTCCTTAGTGTTTGTGACCTCCACACACTTGTAGCCACAACATTAGTTCTCAAAGTTGGTTCTTCAATACCATGACTACACATAGCAGCCTTTGTCCAGCGTTTCATTATGTACTCTTGTGGAATTTTACGAACACAATGCAAATGATATACTCGTAGAGAATGAGAGCAAAGCAAACCAGTTTCACTAAAGAACATGCAAGTGCAAAAGATTGCATGTGTTTCTTTATTAAAAACAACTTCATGTATAACAATGTCCTTCCCAGGATGCCAAAGATGATACGAATATTCAGGAAAATGCAAACTAGAATCTCGATGATCATATGCAGTACCTTTGATGAACTGCTCTTCAAAAAGCACATAAGCCTGAATAGTATATATAGTTCTTGCATGAACTAAGATCCCAATGTTAGCAAAAGATAAATGTCTATTTCCCCTCAAATTATTGTAATTTATACAATCTTCTTTGCTTCTCCACTCAGAAACAACATCTAGAAAAACATGGTAAAAGTCACATAGACCTTGTGTCTTATTAAGTCTATGAGAAACTGACTTATTAGTAGTTTCACTACGTTGAAAAGATAGAATACCACCAGACCAAAACTTCTTAGAATAAGCTGGACACCACATCTCCTTTATTTTGTACAAATCACACAACCAATCATCATTTGCACAATTATATTTCACCAACATTCTGTGAAGCAGAAATGAACATTTATCATTTCAATAAAGAACATAAAGTAATTGCATGAACATTTATATAAATATAAATGTTCATATTTAAACACAAAATTTAAATAACCATAAGATGTACAGTTTCCATATAATAATAGAATGACAAATGATCAAATTAAAACAACTAATGTACATATATGAATAATAAAATGATCATATTTTAAGAATTATCAAATAGACAAAAAGAATAAAATATAAAAATATTACCTTTTCCAGAAATACTCAAACTCAGCAGGGGTTTCACAATATTTCAATAAATAGCTGACAAATCTGTAAAACCATCCAAAGCTCTCAATGCTGCAATATGCTTCTTTGAATTTTGCTCAAGATGCCATACACATAATCGATGATGGACAGTTGAAGGGAATGTGTTTCTTATACCCGCAGCAATGGCTTGTGCTTGATCAGTCATAATAGTAATGAGACTTTTCTTTCCCATTGAATAAAGAAATGTATCAAATAACCAATCAAAAGAATCAGTGCGCTCATTAAGAATAAAACCCATACCAAACATCACATTTTTACCATGATGGTTCATCCCAACAAAAGGAGCACAAATCATTCCATATTTATTAGTTTTATATGCTGTATCAAAGACCAATAAATCTCCAAAGTAATGATAATCTCTGAGCATTCTTCCATCGCGCCAAAAAAACTAACCAAGGC